AAGGCGGCTACGCCTCCTGACTGTCATCCTTTTCTCTTCAGCGAGCGGGAACACCTGACAGAGAAAAATAAAACGTTTGAAAGAAGAAGAAATAAGTTATCGTACCTTCATGGAGTCGCCACTTCTAGAGACCCGGGCCTGTCCTGCATGCCCTGGCTTAATAGCTTGCGCCGATCCCCACCACCTCTGCATCAAGTGTTTGGGGCCTGACCACGCCGTGGACGGCGTGAAGCCTTCTCCGTCCTGCACTGCCTGCCGGGTGCTCCCACGGCTCAGACGCCAGCACCGGTGGGATCATTTCCAGACCCACTACGTCTCACCGCGTGGTGATGAGACAGATGACCAGGTTGAGCTCGATGTGGTGGAGATGGGGGACCAGGATATGGCCGAGGCGGTGCCATTCACGTTCGCCATTCCAGCGGGGCGGATGGCTCCGTTTGCCGGGGAGGAGGATGACGAGGACTTCTCGTTGTCGGGCACTTCCGGGTCCGGCGACTTTGGAAGTCCACCACGCAGGTCTGTCCGCCAGGACTTCCCCCTGGTGATGACCATGGCGGTGGAGCGTGTAGGGCTACCGCTCCCCCCACCACTGCCGGTGAGCCGCCTCCGCCAGGGGTTCTACGGCCCGGTCCGTCCGGCGCAGCCAGCCTTCGTTTCGCCCCCGTTGCCAGATATCTGGCAGTGTGTGGAGGCATCGTGGCGACAGCCACTGAAGACGAAGGCTCCAGTGGCTGGTATGGTGGGGATCCTCAGGGTGCAGGTCCGCATGGACACAGCGTGTCCCGGCATGCCCCCCCTTGATGAGAGCCTGGCAGCCCATCTGCTCCCACAGTCAGCAGGATGGGCGGAGGGTAAAAAGCTTCTGCCTCGTGACCGAGAGACGCTGGAATATTTCGATAAAATATTCCGGCTCGGAGCACAGATGGTGGCAGCGGCGAATAATCTGGGTGTGTTGGGCGTGTCTCTGATTACTCCTCAGCAGGACGCCCCCGCCTCTCCATCTCAGGATCGGAGTGATTATTTGGACCGCAGCATCGGGCAGATGAATAATCTGATTCATGGTGTGGCCGCCGCAGCTGGCAGTGTAATGTCCCTGGCCACAGTGGGATCACGCCACGTCTGGCTGGGACTCACGGCTCTCTCCAGGAAGGACCGTGATGATCTCCTAGGGGCCCCCGTATCCACGGAAGGGCTCTTTGGATCGATCTCATCGGTCACACAGCGTTTCAGATGCTTGGAGGTAGAAAAGTTGCAGCTTAGCCGTATGCTGCCGCTGGCTCTTCCACAAAGAGGAGAGCGCGGCGTCACGGTGAGAAGGAGGGAAAGGCACCGGTTTAGAGGCGCTATCATTGAGAGAGAGAAGCAAAAGGAAACAGCTTTGCTGCTTGCTTTGACTTCTGCCAAGAGAGTATGCGAACTAACCGCTCTATCGGTGCACCCGAGTTGCCTTCTGGTTCATGGTGACCGTAGCAGGGCGACACTCAGACCAAACCCCTCCTCTGTTCCCAAGAACCTAAGGAGTTCTTCCAGGTCGAGGGTTATACAGCTAGACGGCTTTAGTCGTCCACCTATGCACGGCGACGTCTTGGTCTACGCCAGGCCCGTTCATAAGGTAAGTATCTCTTAGACATGTCTGGCTCCTTTTTCCTCGTCGGTGCTTGCTGGGGCAACACAGGACTGGTGAAAGGAGGAGGGCTGTGGGTCAGTAAGCTGTATCTGACCCCCTTGGACATAATGCACTTACGTTGTCCCATGCTCCTTAGGGACCTGGGAAACGTGGTGCGCAGTAAGCCCCATACAGGGCTGGAAGACTCCACCCACTGTACCCATAGAGTCCAGTAGAGGGCGGAGCCTGTGTGAGATAGAACGGTGGGTTACGTATTGTAACCCTAGTTCTATAAGCACAGGCGGAGCCCTCTACCTAGGGGCCCTGTCTTTCCTATGCCGCTCGCTGAAGAGGGTGTAGGATGACAGTCAGGAGGCGTAGCCGCCTTATATACTGTGAGCTGCGCGCGCATTCAGGTAGGCTCGCCCTGATTGGCCGGCTACTTTTATACAACTTCAGTGTGTGAACGCTCGCGTATCATTGATGAGAGTAGTACCCATAGAGTCCAGTAGAGGGCGGAGCCTGTGCTTATAGGACTAGGGTTACAATGCGTAACCCACCGTTTTGGGACTGGGAGTCACAATGATGTCTTCAGTGCAAATATTATCAGTTAATAAATCAAAGAGTTTCTCCAGAGAACATTTTAAACCTTAATAATTATGGTTGGAGTCAATTATCATGCAAAAGCATTGGCATTGTTAAACATGTTTTACTTTTCTCCTTGAAATTCATAAGCTCAACCATTGATTAATCTAAACAAGATAAACAGAGGGAGTAGGGTTTTATAGACAGACAAACATTTTCTTATTCTTTTAATTGCATCAATACAATTTTTCTAAAATGTATAATAATCTAAATTTGATTACATCATTCATGTATTTTACATGTTACTTAAATGTCAAACTTTGTTTTCATTGTATTGGACCAACAATTAGTTTACTGTGAAATTGTGATGTTTTTTTCTTTTCATGGTCTCTCAAACACTTGTCAAATCATGGATACATAAGAACAAATCATGGATACAGACAAAAAAATAGTTTTCATTGTTTTCTGCATGAGTTCTGGTGTGTTTCGGTGACTAGAATGAAATATAATTTTTGTATTTGTTCTTTCACACTACTTTCAAATTTGAACTTCTTCCACTGCTGTTGGAAAGCTTAGACCTTTTGTTTCTTGACCTCTGCTGCTTTGACCCCTCTCTGTCTCTTTCAGCTCAGTTAACTCTCCCATATCGAGCCTGATATACTCCATTCATTCTGCTTCTACTTTCTCATCCTTTAGCTCTTCCTGCATTCCTCCATTGTGCTCTTTGCCAAACGCTAAGCTCATCCTCCATTTTGTTCCCATCTGTATTATTATCCATGATCCTTGCCATCTTGTCTTCATCCCCCTATCCTACAGTCTTCACCTTCATTCATCCCTCCCTCATCCACCTTTGTATCCACTAAGCCGATGCAGAGGCTTCAGCCAGGTATTCGATGTGTTGACCCAGTTAGCCAGCCGGTTAGATTGTCAGATAATCAAGATTTGGACTGCACTTCCTCTTCTATCAAGGCTGTCTGCTGTTCCCATGCTGAGACACATGCATCCAGAATAGTCAGGAGGAATGTAGCTGAAAAAAAGTTTTTTGTGGCCCCTGTGCTTTGTGAAGGACTGACAGGCAGACAATTAAACTGCTCAGTAATTGGCACAGTAATAACCCTAGCATACAAAGGTCTTTTTGTTCTATGTAGGACCTTCAAACTCCGTTTATGACCCTTGCTTTCTGCATGGTAACCGCAGGATGAAGGTATGTCACCTGTCTTCAGACAAGATAAAGGAACATGTCAGAGAGATCCATGGGGATGTTGGACTAAACATCACCATGGAAGCCAAGAGAAGGGACTTTTGGAAATGGAAAACTGGAAGTGTTAAAGTTTCACTGAAGAAGATGGGGAAGAGTGATAGAGCTTGCAGAGGAAAGCCTCGCCTCAATAACACTGAAAAGATACAAAAAGTATGAGTTGTTTTCATGTCTAGAGAAGGAGCAGAAAGACAGGGTTATCTGAGTTCTTGAAAGCAATTTCCCAGAGCAGAGTGAGAGAAAGACAGTGAGAGAAAGAAAGTGAGGTATAGAAAGAGAGAGATAAATGGGAACAGTGTGCCAGCACTTGAGACATAAGGTTCATGTAGGGGCCTCTGTCATATGACCTACATCATTATGTTAACTGGCAGGAAATTGCAAACCTTTTTCTGTCTTAAATTGTATCTGATCCACTGCTTTTCTACAACTGTACCATGTTTTAAAATGAGCTACATGCAGTCAGCAGAATATTATCTGGCATTTGTACTTGGAATTCTTTTCACTTTGCGACCTTGGACTGGCTCGTCTTGCCTGTTTGGCACTGAGCCAGGGGAGGGAGGCATTATTTTCTCTGAAACGCCGGTGGGAATGTGTGAGAAAAGGTTTAGTTGGTGTTATCCGTTGAGTAAAATGGATAGAGGTAAGGATACAGTTTCTCCGGCTCAGCTCTATCCCACAGCGGGGTGTGAGTGTGAGCTTGTGTGCGTTTGATTGGCGATGCACTTTTTCTTTCTTTATCTCTGTTTATCGATGATTCATCTGCTGCGGCCAGGCAGAAAGGACAATCAGGTTACTGCCTCTATACCTGATTTGTATGCCACCTGCAAGATGCACCCAGAGGGTATTTAATGGAGATATATAAGGGGTTCTTTTGTAAATCATTGGCACACTGTTACAATCCTTTGTATTAATAATGTTCCAAGGCATTTATTTGGTCTCTCTCCAAGAAGAATTGATTCTTCTAAACCAATTGGCCTTGCCTTTACACCTCTGAAGCCTTAAATAATAATTATATTTAACACAAAATCAACTCGCAATCGTTTTTGATTGATTGATTGATTTGTTTCTTTTTGTTTTTAAGTCATTAATGCCAAAACTTTGACTTGTTCCAGCCTGTCTTTAGTTGCAGTGACATCAGCATTGGGCCTGCTAATTGCAACATTTTTATGATTAGTCTATTAAATGTTAAAATTAAACCAACTATCCAAAAGCCAAAAATATTCAAATCACAGTTAAAGTACATAAACAAAGTGGGGAAGCAAATGTTAATATTCGATCATCTGAAAACAGAGACTGTTCGGCATATTTGTTTGTTAATGCTTTAAAGAATTATCTAATTATTCATTATTTAAAAGAATATTGTTGATTGAGTTATCTGTATTGAATTTATCAATTTTGAATTGATAACACTGCTTGAAAATTGTCAATTGGAAAGAAAATTATGCTCATCAATATGTAAGTGAGAATATATATATATATTTATTTAATTGACAGAAGATTTTTTTTGTATCTGCAGCCGTCTAACTCTCTCCCTCTGCTCTCTATTATCAGGCTGCGGCTGACTTCGCCAAGGCCCACCTGTCTGGGGCACTCCGCCAGCAGCTACTGACCTACGAACGTGAGAGAGAGCGAGACAAAGAAAAAGACAAGGAGAAAGAAGAAAAAAAGGAAAGGGGCGGCCTGTCCTATCCTTCCATACTGGAGCAGCAGATATTGAATCTGGACAGAGAAATGCTTGAGAAGCTCTCTGCCACTTACAATGAAGCAGGTGAGTGAATTGGTTTGTTATAGAATAAAAGAACCTGGAGAAAAATCCCCGACTCTTTAAAAAGAGACAACCATAACTACTGTATGTACAATATATGTTCAACTTTATCAATGCAAACGTGTGCAAGTTCTTGCATGTAAAACAAGTTGGGGATATTTCCCCTGCAGTTCATTAAATAGCAGATATCTAAATGTGTGCATACAGTATTTCAGCTTTAATGTGGCCACAATAAAGGGCAGAGGCCATATACAGATGGATTTAAACCACAAGTGTTGCTCATTACTGGGGACACAATAAGAAAGCACCAGTTAGTCAAGGGTGATGTTTTTAAATGTTCCCTATATAGCTGCACCCAAACTATTTTTTCCACTCCACTGTTTTCACTTGTCTGTTGTTGAATAGTGACCGTCAGCACCCCCTAAGCCTTGCTTATTCAGCTGTTAAAATACAAGCTGATCTTCACAGGGCTTGTAGTAATTATCTCTGGAGAGAGGCAGGGAGGGTGTGGTGATGCAAAAGAGAGAGTGTGATGGATGGAAAGAGGTAGGAGAAGGGTCAGAGGGAAGGAGGACATTTTGCTGTTGAGATGAAGGGAGGAGAAATGCTAAGGACAGACAGGAAAGGGACAACAGGGGCGTTCAAAGGGTGAGGAGAATGCGGGAGAATGAGAGTATGGATACAAAGGGTGATGATAAAGTCTGACATGAATTCAACAAAACCTTTGGCAGAGACAATAGGAAGAGAAAATACTGAGAGCAGAGTCATACAGTCCAATGCAGAGACATATGGGCTTCATCTGTCAGCATCATTGTCCTACATTCAATGAAAGCCTTGTTTTTATGATTATATCAAAGGTAAAACAAGTTTTGGAGACATCAGAGAATTAGTAACAGTAAGGGAGGCACAGCCGAGTAATGAGTTTCACTGGGTTTCTAAACCACCTCTGTTAATTTAACTTCAAGTCTAAAGGGAGACATTTGATTAATAAGACGATCTACACTGGAGGTTCATCTTTTTATTCTGCGGCAAAATCCTTATTGGTTTATTGAACACGCAGGAGAGAGAGTTGAAATACAGCTAATAGGATGATTACATGGACTTCCTGTGATGAGATGCTTCAACTTCAAGAACTTCAAGCTTTCCTTTTGGAGGATCACTTTTCCTTCCTGTCCCTCTGATTCAACTTTCAGCTCTGTGAGAAGCAGAGTAAACGTCAGAGAAATACAGTGAAAAAGGTTTTGGTGTTAGGGAAGAACTAAACTCTCAGTCGTGCCCATAGATAAAAGTACCAATGATATTCTTGCGGAGTCTATTGCTGAGAGTGTTTTGGAACATAGACACAACTAACTAAAATGGCACTTGGAGAGCACAGACCTCCACCAAGGCCAAAGGTGCATCCTCTGAAGGTCTTATTCCATGAGCTTTAAGTCATAATGTCGTAACAATATGGACGCTACAGAGGGGATGCATTGTGTTTTTTATTTCACAGGTCATTTTGACAACATAATGATATCTGTTTCCGACATGCATGAATTATCCCATTTGAAAAACGTCTCTTTTTTTGACAACACATGAATGCAGTGTGTAGCCTAAATGACAACCCCAGACAGCATGCAAGTGCCATGGAGAAGGCCTCACGCCCTCTGGAGCGCGACCTGAAGCACCTATTCTGGCAGCCATAGTGTTTTTCTAACACTCACCTGATCTTAACCTCCTCAACAAGTCAATCTCCTTTCCTGATCCATCAGCCTGCTTCTGTTTCTCAAGATACATCACCTGTTGCATCCAGGCTCAACAGATCTGAATATATATATTTATTTTCTTATCCCTCTAAATTTTCATCATCCTTTATTTGGGCACCACAGCAAGAAGTACTGACACTGAGCGTATAGATACATTTACAGTCAAGCTCCATTACAATGCAAAGGCTCGTGTGTTGTCTAATCCAAGCATTAGACAGTCAGGGATTGAATTTGCTGCAGAATTTATCCGACCCTTCTTGTCAGCGTCTCGGGGGGGATCTGCTGATCAGGTAATTGTTGTGCATTCTTGTCCCTGTATCTGATTCAACAATCGCATCATTTAGGGTAGACTGCTCCCTGCTTTCTGCCACAATCAGGGCCTAAATGAAGCTGGCAGAGAGGGGGGGAATAGAGAGACACACTCTCAATTCAGCAGTCAGGAGGACAACAGCGTATCAGATTTATCCCCCTGTTCATTCATCCCTTTGTTGTTTATCAGCCAACAAAAGCCTTTGAAAGACAGATAAGGGAGATGGGACTCTGATGGAATGGCCAAGAGCTTGAGTCTATTATGGAAACAGCTTCCTTAATGCGGTTTGGTATCCTATTAGTACTAACCTCTGTGTGGCTGTGTGGCATGACTCTCAGCACACGTTTGAACCCACACAAGCACACAACAGTGTCAAATGGTGTATCAGTTCAATAGTCAGTAGTTATTGTTGCAAGCAGCTGTATAAAGCTATACAAATGGTTAAGATTAGAACATTTTTAGATATATTTTAAGAAATCATTTGGGGAGAACATTTTCATCTATCTTTCGTGTCATGTACGGACAGGTGATACAAAAACAGTGAGTTAGTACAGGACACCGAGTCATCTAAATACAAGAAAATGAATGCATACGGCATCATTTCAATGTCAAACTAGCAAAATAAATCAAATTTTTGCAGGAAGGAAGGAAATATCTTGCCTCAGTAATGCAGAAGAATGTGTTCGTATGACTGGGGCCAGGCTTTTGATATAACATTGCATTAAAATGTGTCACATTATATATGATAACTAATGCATTTTAGGTAGTTACAAATGTTAATTAGGCTTTCCTGAAGTGCCATAGACAGAATAATGTCTCTGGCATAACTGGTGGCCTACAGGTTAGAAAAGCGAGTTTGCAACTGGGGTCGTCGGTTAAATTCCCAGACTGGCAGGATAGATCTGAAAAAAACAACCTTTAAAAGTCTTTGCGCATCATGTAAAATACACGATGACGTCGTCACTTTTCACTCATGCAGCATCGCGCCATGAACACCACAGCGAGCATTAAGCAGGCTTAAAGCCCAACCTTAACAGGGGAGCCAGCAGATCAGACTTGTTGGTTAGCTTATGTGAATGTGTTTAACTGTGTCAATATGCAAAATAGAGGCTTCCTATAAGTGACATTTTCAAGTTTTAAAATCAATTCAAGTTTCTCAAAATGATCTTCTGAGTGCATCTCAATTCCATAAAATACCATTCATTTAGTTTTTGATTTCCTAAGCCTTGCATTTGTTTGCTGTTGTGATTATTTTGAGCTGAATGTTGATGCCGTTGGTTTTGTTATGCTTAGAGTATCTTCATTTTTCTACCCTGAATCCAATGATGTTCATCTTTGTTTGAACTGTTGTTTTTCTCTGTGAAGTGCCTGAATAATGTAAAAAATATTTACAGTATTGGAGCAGGACATTATGTATTTGGCTCTGCTTTACATAATAAGTGCCCAAATGCTACAGCCTGTGGCAATACTTGGATAAACTATTAACTTACAGATGGAAAACATAAAAGTATGTAACTATCAGCAAAAGGCAAAAGCCAAAATGTTTTCTGTAATTAACTTAGGTTACACTAAAGACAAAGACAATAGCATCCCATTTGAAGGTTTGTTAGTGTGTGTTATAGATAAAAGTACACTTGGAAATGTGTAGCCTCGGGATATGATCATTAAATAAATATTTGATACAAACCAATCAGGTTTAACAGGCTCTGACATCCAACCGTTATAGTTATATAACAACAGCTCATCCTTGCAGAAGTTGTCAGCTCGCGTTCAGATTCCACTGGCTACGTTTCCTGAACTCACAAAAGAGACTATTTTAAAGCTGTTCTTTGCTCACTCTATGACTGCACAACCATTAGAGAGGATTTCGTTCATTGTGATGACACCCTGACGACCTCCTAACCTATCAAGCTCTCCTCTCCTCTTTCTCTTCTTCGATCTCTCTGGCAAAAAGCACTTTCTTTCAAGATAAGATCCATTCTTCCTATTCCAATCCCAAAAAACTATTTTCTATATTCTCCACCATCCTGGACCCCCACAAAGCAGCCTCCCTCTCCTCTGTCATCATCCTTTTGGACCTGTCTGCTGCATTCGACACGGTGAACCATCAGATCCTCCTTCGCACTCTCCAAGAACTTGGAGTTTCAGGCTCTGCATTTTCCCTCCTCACCTCCTACCTCAAAGACCGCACCTACAGGGTAACTTGGAGAGGGTCCGAGTCTGACCCTTGTCAATTAACTACAGGGGTCCCTCAGGGCTCTGTCCTTGGTCCCCTCCTCTTCTCTCTCTACACAAACTCGCTCGGATCAGTCATTAGCCCGCATGGTTTTTCATACCATTGCTATGCTGACAACACCCAATTAATTCTGTCTTTTCCCCGTTCTGAAACCCAGGTCGTCGCACACATCTCTGCTTGTCTAGCAGACATCTCTCGGTGGACGTCTGCTCACCACCTCAAGCTCAACCTTGACAAGACTGAACTGCTTTTTCTTCCGGGAAAAGAGTGTCCCACTCTTGACCTAACAATCAACATCGGCCCCTCTGTTGTTGCCCCGACTCAGACTGCAAGGAATCTGGGTGTGACCCTAGATAACAAACTGTCCTTCACTGCAAACATCGCTGCCACAACCCGCTGCTGCAGATACACTCTTTACAACATCAGGAGGATACGTCCCCTCCTGACCCAGAAAGCGACGCAACTTCTGGTCCAGGCTCTCGTCATCTCACGCCTTGACTACTGCAACTCCCTCCTGGCTGGTCTACCTGCATGTGCCATCCGACCTCTGCAGCTCATCCAGAATGCAGCAGCTCGTCTGGTCTTCAACCTTCCTAAATGTTCCCACACCACACCGCTCCTCTGCTCCCTTCACTGGCTTCCAGTAACTGCTAGAATCCACTTCAAGTCACTGGTACTAGCGTACCATGCTGTGAATGGATCTGGCCCTTCCTACATCCAAGTCATGGTTAAACCATACACCCCAGCACGTGCACTCCGCTCTGCATTGGCCAAACGGCTCGCTGCACCCGCACTGCGAGGGGGACCCAAGTTCCCATCAGCAAAAACACGTCGGTTTGCTATCCTGGCTCCAAAATGGTGGAATGAGCTCCCCATTGACATCAGGACAGCAGAAAGCTTACACATCTTCAGGCGCAGACTAAAAACTCATCTCTTTCGACTCCACTTCGAGCAATAACATTTCTAACAAAGCACTTATATACTAATAAAGGACTGGCTTATCTAAAGCTAGTTGAGTAGCACTTGAAATGTTTTGGCTCTATGAAACCTGATGTACTTATATGATTCTGTTTTCTTCAAGTTTGTATCTTCTTGGTCGAATGCACTTATTGTAAGTCGCTTTGGATAAAAGCGTCAGCTAAATGCAATGTAATGTAGTGATGAATTATCTATCATCCCAAGTGAGTTCCAGGCTTTTGCAAGTTTGATGTTGTGCTATGACTGTCTGACCTACGCGTGGAAAACTCAAATAAGATCTTTGTTTAAAGTGGTTTAATTGTGTAAGGACTCCAGGCATAGAGCTTTTTATTTTTCTGTAACCAGTTGGTTGGAGAAAAAAAAGAGTGTTAATCTTAAAGGAGAACTCTACCACAGTACTTTGGGGACTATTGAGTGTTTTGAAGCAGATTTGGCAGTGTTTGAAAAATTATCTGGGAGGTTCAAAGAAGTGATCTTACCAGACCCCCGAAGCCCCCAGGCTCCTGATCTCTGTTTGAGGCTAGCGGCTCGAGGCTACGCTACAAGCATAACACCTAAAAAACACTCTGAACTGTCCGTGGTTGGGTTAAATTGTGAGTATTAGAGGTCTTAACAAAGAAGAAGAATATGGAATAAAACTAATGTAAAAATATCTCTGTTTTCAGCTTTATCAGTTTTGATCTTTTAATAACTGTCTATCAAGAGTCTGACGCAATGCTAAACTAGTCAATTACTTCCTGACCCACACAGTTGCTATTGACGCCTTGCTTGATTATAGGAGATCTATTGGGCTGTCAGATCAATGCCACTGACATGTATGCTACATAATGATCTACTTAATATGTTGTATGATAAGAATTATAAAGGAAACCACAAACACTGGAGAAATAATTGGTTGAAATGTAAACGGGAGCTCAAAGCAAAACAAAATTGATAGGGCTTTAAAGAGGCTGAGGTTGGCCCTACGGCAGCTAGTTATTAAGAATGGAAAGGATTGAATAGTAAAGAAAAATAAATACTTCATATGTACCAAGGCTGAGTCTTTACCGAAGTGAATGGGTTTGCAAGTCGTCTCCTTTCCAGTGTATCTGTCCTGTCTATTTAATGAAGGCAAAAAGGACAAAAGTATTACTCATTAAATACACTTAAAACAATACACTATAGAAAGCAGGGCTTGAATAAAGCTTCATAGTGATATTTAGAGTGCTTCACAGACTTTACAAAGTGATTTAAATTGCTTTATTCAATGCCAAATGCTAAAATAGTGTTGCTATAAATCGTTAAAAGTTAAGGCAAGGAGGGCAGGTAAGACGGGATGGCAGCTCTCAAGGGACAAAAATTATGTTGTAGCTGGACTAATGGGCAGGTCGTTTTATTTTTTGGAAAGGTTTTGGGCCAGTGTGAGCAGGGTGTTGGCAGTCCTGCTCTCATTTGTTCGCCTAAATGCCAAGCAGAACCGTTAGGACATAAATCCATGGGAAGATTGCTGGTGCTGGTCATTTATACTCTCCAGAGTCTTTCGCTAACTCTGAGAGAGTGAATCAGTGCAATGATACCATTTGGAGTGTGAGACTAACTGGGGCTGAGATGTTAATTTGATTGGAGTGTGCCAGGCCAAGCAAAGCCAATAATTAGCATGAGCTCAAATGCAAGACATGGTGCCATTTTAATATGGAATGCTGAACGTGTGCCTGGCATGGCCGGGCTAATTGGGGAAGGGTGTGCTAGCAATGCACCTCAGTCCATTATCTCCATCGTCATGGGAACTGGATGAGGATAATTAGCTGGACAGCATGGTACAGTGCAGCGGCAGCTCTGGGCACGAGCAGCAGGATTAGGGATGCATACAATGATGAAACTAATAGAAATGGATTTTGCACAAACTGTGTAAAAGATTTAGTAAGTCATTGACAATAAAGTGGCAATATTCACTACATTCATCTGCACTGCGCTTCCAGCTGGTGCATAGTTATTTTCTGTCTCATTTTTCTCTACTGTTTATCTCTTTTTCTCACCCAAAGCTATAAATGGGAGTAATAAAACCATTGTCCTGCTGAGAAGTAATCTCATTTCTTATTTGTCTCGTATCTCACCAACCCTCCTCAACTCTTCCTCTCCTCTGCATCCACTGTGTTAACTCGTCCCCCATCCTCACATATTGTGACTGCATCAGGTTTAGCACAGAGTTAACTTAATATGAGGACCCTTTGAGGAGAGATCCTTTTTTTTATTCAACTCAATGTCAAACGTCTAGGAAACTAAACTCAATCAAATCATAACAAGACGAGGAACTTTAAAGAGATTTCCCATAAATTAGAGGTTATCCATATTCTTACAATGTCATTGAATCCAGCTTTCATCTACCTCTTGTAGCATTTTACACTTACATTTTGAGGATGACTGTACTTTAAATCTCAATGTATCACCCTCCCCTCTCTGTATATCTGTCCGGGTGGTCCAGAACAAGTAGGACCCCCTACATTCTCTTCTTTTTTTATCCTCACTTCCCCTCTCTCTCTCTCTCTCTCTCTCTCTCTCCAGTTTTCTTTGCTCTGTGTGAGCAGATGGCCAAACAGGCAGATCTGTTCTTTCTCTGCAGGACTTTAGATCTCACACAATAGGCCTCAGATTCGGAGTCCAGACTCTGCTTTGCCTGGCTGGGAAACTAAACAAAGAGAGGAAGGAGGAGAAGAAATAAAAGCATTTCAGAGAGTAGTACAAGGAAAAAAGTGACTTCAAAGAGTGTTTGCAGTGTTTGTGCATGAGGGAAGGGAACAATTGTTCTCATTATTTTTACTGAAGTTGTTCATTAGTGTTCCTAAATTCAGAGTAGCTTTATATGAAAGAACATACATTTGTATGTTACATCATTTTTAACCAGGACTGTAAATTACAATTTTCCATAATTGTTTTAACATTGCTAGCACTGTGACTCTAGTCATGGGGATGTAGTTATGTGCTTTGGCCCACCACTCAATGATTATTGAAAATGTCTTGACAGCTATTCAAATGAAACTAAAATGATGATATTTGGTAAAGAGATTCATGCATCCATCAGAATGATTTGTTATTAGCGATCCTGCTGTCACACGTAAATGAGATGGTAAGCCTTCTGAACATCAGCAGGTTAGCGTTGTCATTATGTGATGTTGTATTACACCCTGCATTGCAATAGATGTTACTCTTATGGTTTATGAATGTAAAAATACCTTTATTTGTCATGGGTTTTAGTTTGCTCTATGCCAAAAATCGTATTTTCTTGGTTATTTTAACCATGAATAGTTGTATTCACAGGCAGAAGCTCAGTCCGTAGGAACTTAATTTGGAAACAGGAGGGTTGCCGGTCCACTTCCTAAGCAGTGCCAATGTGGCCAAATGCAAGGATGCACTATTGTTATGGCAGTGCAATGCCTTGGAAGTGGCATCTTACCCCTTATAAATGCACTATATTACAATCGTTACTGACAGAAACTGTTCCTTTTAACTGCCCATTCTAACTCTGATATAATCCACTTTCTTCTCCCCCTCCCTTTCCTGCTCTTTCTCTCTTCCTCTGTTCCCTCCCGCTCGCCTCTCTCCTCCATCTGTCTCAGGTACTACGTGTCTGGTGGCCCTGCTCTCTGAAAAGGAGTTGACGGTGGCCAACGTTGGAGACTCGCGTGGAGTTCTTTGTGACAAAGACGGAAATGCTATTCCTCTGTCGCATGACCACAAACCTTACCAGCTAAAAGAACGCAAGAGGATCAAGAAGGCTGGTGAGGAAACAGCTGCAGTCCAGACCAGTAGACCTTTCTCCAGCAATTCTAAGCAGAACAAGGCTTTAGTTCAAACTTAAAGCCACATCAACACACAGATTGTTGTCATAAAGAGCATAAAATAGTCTTCTTATGATCAAAGCTGAGCACCATTATCCTTTTTCTCCACTTTGTGCGTGTCTGTGCTGAGGCTGACATCAAACCCTAGTGACTGATAACCCAATCTGCCTCTAACGCAGCATGTTATCAAATGCAGCCAGACAGTGCACAGTATTTGAAGGCATACTTCTCCCATCTACCCTATCTGCATACTCTCCATGCTGAAGAGAGTTTGATGGCAGTTTGCCAGATGTCACAGCGTGGTCACTGTCAGGAAAGCCCACCATCTCCATCTAATGGTCTACTTGGGTACTAAAAGAAAGCTCTCAGATTTAGTTTGCATTGTGTTGCTGTTTACTTATTCATGTGACATACTTGCAATTATAATACTACACTTGAGTTCCTACTGTTTTAACTTCAGTGAGGGGGCAGAATCTAATGATCATAATAATTATAGTTTCTCATAAACAGGAACCAGTGCTATACTAATAAAATAACAGCATAGACACTAGTCCTCTCTCCTGGGGCGGCATTTTATTTTGTTAAGGTGGTGTTTATCTGTCTCTGTGACACAGTCCTGTAAACACTGATACTCCAGAACAATTACTGATAGAAACTCAATACCAAAACCACAGGCTCCACAGGTAGAGCTGGTGATCTAATTTGTTTTTAGAGTACCATACATCTACATTTTCATTCGTGAAACCAGATTTTCTGGAATCTGTTTCAAGTACTAAATGGTAAATTAAGTCTCTGCACTAGAAAAAGTAAACAATGACACTTGATACTAGAACCTCAAATTGCAACAACCATTTACAAAACAGTCAAACCACAAACAGCATTTTTCAAAAAATAATGGAAGTATTCAATTAATAAGATTTTTAGGAAATGGTTCACTTATAATATTTATTATGATGTATCAGACTGTTGACTTTATATTTCCTTAACTAATAATTATAGTAATTAGTCATTATCTATTTTTGTATCTTTCTTTATTTTACTTCAACAGTTGTTTTATTGTAATCTGTAGATCTTAGGATACATTGTAATTATTGTGTCATTTTAGGATTTTTGCAAATCCATTACTAAAGGTTTAACTGTCTGTGGCTCTCATACAAAAACGTAAAAAAAGTCATTTGAATAGTCCTCTGACTGACAAATTGCAATTTCAAGAAACTTAGTGCTGACTTTAGTAATGAAATCTAACTGATTAATAATTAAATTGATTTGAAATAAATACAAGTCATTGGTAATAGTGGTGAGCATAAATAAATATAGTCCCATGATAATTTCAGGGCATAACTAATTAATGCATTTATTAAGCTAACTGCTGCTCTCAGCCGCTAACTGCTTAGGGTAATACTTCAATGACTAATGTCTCCCTTGCTTCTGAAAGCAATTTGTACATTCTATTCCCTGGTTATATTAAAGCAGTTAACTACATGAGCAAACATGAGGACACAGAGTTCATGTCCTCTGCTTTGCTGGGAAATGGGGAGTTTAGCAAACTAATAATAGTAACAGAAAGTTGCACATAATGGGATTTGTTTTTATAGCCTAAACTCAGATTGTTTTTTTAAATCCTTGCTATGGCCTTGCTCACCAGGAACTAGGGAGGCATCTTGACCTCATATGGAATTCCTCATCCTATCAGTTCCAGTACAATTCCCTCCTTGCAAATCTGTTGAAGCCATAGAGGACACGCAGCTGCACTTGCAGGATGTGACATAAATTGAAATCAATCCAACATAAACAATTGCGTTCCATGAGCGTAAACAATGAGCACTGAGTGAAAACATGTGAAGGGTACTAATCCAAAATATTATTTGCTTATTTGATGTGAACATAGTAGTCTCATAGATGAATAGACATGTTGCCAGTTGGTTCAGAGAAACAAAAATAGTCTTTTGTTTTGCAGTTTCACGTCAGTAACATGGAAAACATCCGTTTCTCTACTGTTCCCTCTACCTTTGTTTTCCTCTATACTCTCACTTCCTCTCATTCTCTCTCCCACCTCCCCCCCTCCATCTTGTAATTTACCCTCAACTTTTTGCTTTGGCACTTTCCAACTATTTCCCCTCTGTCTTCCTCCTCAGGTGGGTTCATCAGCTTCAACGGCTCGTGGCGTGTGCAGGGCATCCTGGCCATGTCCCGTTCTCTGGGCGATTACCCGCTGAAGAACCTCAACGTGGTCATTCCCAATCCGGACATCATGACGTTTGACCTGAACAAGCTGCAGCCGGAGTTCATGATCCTGGCCTCGGACGGCCTGTGGGACACCTTCAGCAACGAGGAGGCGGTTCGCTTCATCAGGGAACGACTGGCCGAGCCTCATTTCGGCGCAAAGAGCATCGTCCTCCAATCCTTTTATCGTGGTTGCCCTGACAACATCACCGTCATGGTAGTCAAGTTTAAAGGCAAGGCCAGCGAGAAGTAGACACGCATCAACAACACACAACATCTATATCATGTTTGAATATTAGTGAGAAGTAATAGGGTTAAGATGAGAGATTTAAAAACTCAAAACAACATTTTGGGTGAGAACAATTTCTATCACAGATATTTGCAGTTCCCCTCCTTTACTTTTACAAATGAAAAAGCGTTACTTGTAAGAAATTGCTTTCATTTAGTTATGCAACAACAGATTGAGCTGTGTGTGTGCGTGCGTGTGTATGCTTGAGAATATGAAAATAATTGATATATTTCACGTTAACAACCAATGCATTGCCTGTCCAATAATGAGAAAATGACAGTAAACAAGCTAGCATGGAGTTTGACTTCCACGTTATTTCAGAGGTGAGGTCTTCCACTATGTGACCACTAATGTTTATGCTTTTAGTTGTCTAACTCTGTTGTCACATCATTTAATTGTAGACTTGTGTCTACCAAGTGACTGCACTGAAAAAGTATTTTTTTCCTGGATCAATTACATGTCACTGGTGCAAATATGATTGTATTCCCTTTATACAGGAACAACACAAATGATACTATGCTTGTTTAAATATCACCATCGATATTGTACAGCAATACAACCAATTACAATGGTCGCATCACACTTGCTGATCATGGGAATTTGATGTAAGGATGAAAGTGTTTTGTCTTGAATTTTATAATTTTAGATGTTGAATGTCTAAGTTCACTTAAATTGATTGCTGTTTTTGTGCTGATAAAGTCTCAATTCTGTTTTGATTGTTGATACATATTACATTTGTTAAAGCTGAGACTCTGGTATGATCCCCACCTTATCAGCATTTATGTAACTACTGATAATGTAATGCTGCAGATTGTTAAAAGAAAATCTCTCTTACAACTTAAAAATAAAAATCATTTTAAACTTGAGGAAGGAGGTAATAATTAAGGTATCACAGGCAGTTACAATTGTGAATGATTTAGCAATTTAAATTATCAAGAAAGATTTACCACCCTTAGGCTTCTTTTCTACATAATTATTGACGTGCTAGTCCTTTATCTGAGGTTTCTTAAATTATCACATGACAAATTAACGTTACAATTTCAGCCTTTAATGCCATGTCCTCTACATCCTGCTATTGATCATTAACATTTTCCTGAACTGTAACTCAAAATGTAACAAGCCTTTGAATGAATTGTGTTATTGTTGCCTTCTTTTTTAAACTGTTGATTTCCTGTTATGAAGTCTGCTGCCAAAACTACTTTCAGTTTAATGTATTGCCGTCGATCATGCCATGCACACTGCTCGACCCTGAAGTCGTACCATGTTAACTCACATGTAAAATAGCATTATGGGAAGAAATGTCTCTAAGAGACATGGAATTGTAAGATGAATGTACATACTGTCCTCATGTTAGTATCACCCCTCCACTGTTCATGCATCAATGAATAAAGCAGTGCGCCTGTTTCTGGATTGTTTAACTTCAGAGATATATATATATATCAGAGAAAACTGTCTGTTTGTGCTTTTTCAGTTCACATTCTTCCTAAAATATGTACCTTACAGAGTGTTTATGTGGCATCTGTACTTGTTTTTGTTGACTTTAATAAACTGTACAAAAATACAATAACAATTATTCTGACATTTCAAATTGTAAATCTAAAAGTGAACATTAAAAATGATATATGATCATTTTGTGTGTTTTTTATTTAGAAATTATTCAGTAAAAGTAACTCATACATAGAGACAATAACCGGAAAGAAAAAAAAACATGGAGATCTTCAACAAAAATTGAAAACAGTACCCGTACATTATGTATGGGGACTCTGGGGATTAATATCAATAAAGGTAATACTTCAATTGATAGTAAATATAAGACGCATCTTTTCCCTGTATGATTGACATATTTGCACTTGGGTTAAATATATAGGGCACTAAACAGAAACATGAATACCTAATCTTTTCTCAAGTATTTCCCTAAAGTTCTCTTACATGTTTGTTTTTTCCAGCGAAATAAATTAAACAATGGGTAATGAAGAGCTGATTTTAGTCAGGTTATGCCACCTGCTGGGCGATGAGAATATATTCGTCACAGCAATCCACATTTAGTATGTCAGGTGATTCGGCTGATTGTTACTAGAAAGTAAAGAATATTTCAACAGATATAACAAAAATAACTCACCCTAGCTTTAAGATGTCATACAGAATGAATTGGGCAAACAATCATAAATCAGCCAGAATTAGAAATGAAATAAAATGCACTAATATTAAATCTAGCGTACTAATTGTGACAATGTATAATTCCAATCATATTGTCCAGTGCTGATGTTGTACACTATTGTGTAATGCTAAAGTCTGTTTCAGTAATTCAAAATGTTTAATGTATGCGTATTTATTTGGGATCAATAACAGATTCCCAGAAACCATTTTTGCTGACAGGTTTCTCAAAGGCTCACATTTTGCCTACATAATCTCAGTCTAAAGATACAACTACATTTACCCAGCCCAGGGCGAGTTATCCCCCAGCTAAATGTTCCTGTGATGACATTGCTCAGGGACATCTAGCCAGGAAGAAACATAATCTTACCGGTGTACCAAAATGGACTTCCTGGTTGGTATCTGATGATCTGTAGCAGGTGTGATGTGACTCCTCTACTAACTGTGCAGTGGTAACCAGAGAACTGTACGCAGTTAGTTGCACCATCACTTTGGATATAAATAGCATTACTGAAAGCTACGCAGACACAAGAGGAATCCCATCACAACAGAGGGGAGGGATCACTCTGCGCACATAAAGCATACTGACTGCAGCCAGTCTCTATAAGAGACGGGACACACTAAGCCTATAGATAGTCAGTACAAAGGGAGCCATTGGGTACAGCTTATTTCACACAGCTATACAAAAAGAAGAAGACGCTTACTTTATAGTCACGAGCTGCACTGTGAGGACATGGGCCTGCATGGATCCAAGCCTCGAAAACAAGCACAGGTCCTGATGCTGGGTCTGACTGGATCTGGAAAGACCACACTGCTCTACAGGCTGAAGTACAACGAGAGTGTGCTGACCGTGCCCACTGTGGGCTTCAACGTGGAGACGCTTGAGACGGACAGGAGCAGCCCGGGCCTGACGGTGTGGGATGTGGGGGGCCAGAGGAAGATGAGGCCCTATTGGAAACATTTCTATACTGATACAGCCGGACTGGTGTTTGTGGTGGACAGCTGGGATCAAAAGCATCTGGATGAGGCCCGCAAGGAACTTAATCGGGTAAACAGATACTTTTATACTCTTAATTGCACATATTCTTCCTTCAGTAAGAATTGTGTTTTTGTTACTTCAATTGGATGTTTGAGCTATTTGAGCAGAGTGATGTATGCAGTCAGAGTTGTACTCTTTAATAAATGTCTCATAGCAGAAGTTAAAGGTAGGGTAGGCACATTTGAGAAACCGGCTCGAGATCGCTAGAATTTGAAAATACACAACCGGAGAAAATCTGCCACTTCCTTATAGAGCCCCTCCTCCAACACACACGAACGCGCACATGACCAATGAGGGCACGAGATAAGTTTGTGCCCCGATGGAAGGCTGACAGGCAGGTAGGCCATCCAGTTACTTTAGCCAGGCCGGCTAAAATGATTGGTCGTACTTTTTACAGTACTACGGCTTCCACAGATGAAATTTTTTTATGGATTTTTTGTCAAAGCACTTAAGATATTCATTGCTATCGAGATGTTAAGAGCATTCCATGGAATATAACAAGTGTATCTCGAGCCGGTTTCTCAAACTTACCTACCCTACCTTTAAGCAGATATAAGAACATTTGCACATGCTTATTAATGTCTTGTCAACAACTATACTATACTAAACCAATTTGTCCAAAACTGTGTATAATATTTTAATGAATGAGGACAATTCACCCTGCAATAACACTTGAACTTTGCTTAGTTTATATGTAGTATGAAGAACATTTCACTATGACTAAATTCAAGATTCAAGATTCAAGGCTTTATTGTCACGTGCACAGTAGCTACAGTGTAGATATGGCAATGGAAAACTTAAGTCACAGGCTCCTCCAACAGTGCAACATGAATACATATAGGACATAGAACAAATAAAACAGATAAAATAGAACACATGCTCTATTAGTGAAAACATTTACGAGTAACTAAATCATATTTCATTACAACAGTTTTTTTTGTCTGTCATCTGCTTATGCACCAGTACAGCATGCCAAACAGAACAAAATAACAATTGTTCGCAAACATAATAAATACCCTTATCTCTGTTTAAAACTACATTACAGTGTGCAGTATATGTGTTCAACTGCTCAATGCTTGATAGATATTGGTTAAACACAATAAACCAGTTAACTAAAATATTTTGTACACAAGTTGACGTTTTTTTGTTTGCTTTCTTCTCCACTTTTAGGTCCTGAGGCATGAGAGTCTCAAAGGAGTCCCTCTCGTGGTCCTTGCCAACAAACAGGACCTCCAGGGCGCTCAAAGCCCAGAGGCTCTTTGTGTGACACTGGACTTGAGAAGATTGTGCGAGGGCAGGACCTGGTTCATCCAGCCCTGCTCAGCCACCACCGGCGTGGGGCTGGAGGAGGGCTTCAGGAGGATCGTCTATCTGATGAAGACTCCATTCAAACAGACTCAAGAGGACATTAAGGTTAAGATGAAGTCCAAAGGGTTCAGTGTCACAGCTATGAAAAAAGTAGTTTGTCTCTGCAGCAGATGATGGGGGAAAATCTGGTTTGAGAATCATTCAAGTGATTTGCAGGAGTCCTTGTTGTCTGCCTGTGTAATTCAGCAGCAAATGGCCTCACTGTGGCGTCTATAGGATCAGAGTATAGGAGGTGATGAGAAAAGGGATGAGATTATCTCAGTTTTGATTGTTAATCTACGTGACAGAGAGAAGCTTTATTCAGTGCTGATAAAGACAAAGTGTCCTTGGACCATGGTGATATCCCATGAGGGTGCTGTGATCTTGGGTTAAGACAGCTGGTGTGTCAAAAACTGATATTTGAGCTGAGCCTGAGAGAGAAACTGAACCTTTTGCAAAACAGAGTATTTGCAATGATTCAATCTAAGAGTTGTCTCTATACATGGAAATACAAACCAAATATATATTGGTCTGTGGGTCAAAACAATTTGGTTCTCCAATTGTGCAACTTTTGTTTGTTTGTTTTATTTATGTTTAGTTTTATATTTATATTTTTATCAATTTTTATGAAATATAAAGACTTGTTGTTTTGTATAACTATTGGGTTTGTACAACACAAATTTGACTTAAACAAAGGCCTATTTGTGACATTGATGTAAAATATAGATGTTGCTACATCATACAAATTAAAGCCATGACAAAACTGTAAAATCTGTCAACTCAAGGCGTGTTTTCAATATGTGTTTATTATCATGCTTACAATATGTCAGTGTTGTTTTGTCTAATGTTGCAATTAAATAAAGAATAATTCATGTTAAAGTCCTGAAATTCAAATTCTTAGATTTTCACATATGGGTTATACCCATAGACTGTATATATAAAGGGTTATACCAGGCGTTTTTAAAGGTATGTCTTAAAACATACTTACATGCTTATTTTTTTATTGCAACTGCTGCACAACAATTTCCCTTAGGATAAATAAAGATGTTCTTTATTTTATCTTGTCTGTTTGGCCCCGGATTGGTAAACCGGCCGTTGGCTATTATAGCCTACTGATAGTATAAATTAAAGTAAAGCAAAGTATCTATAGCTGTAAGCTAAAATAAATGACTGTAAAACTAGAAAGAAATAGATATTATGGATGCAGTGGTAGAAAATAATAAGTAGCTACATTTATTTAAGTGCTGTACTTAGGCTTACAATGTTGAGGTACTTAAATGTAATGCAGCTTTCTACTTCACACACTTTAGTTACTCGACACTTTGCAAATTCAGATCTTTATTAACCTCTAACGAGGTATATGAAATACATTGCCTTGCATTTATTTAAATCAAAACACCTTCACGATAAAGATTAATTAAAAATATTGCAGCAAAGACCAAAATTAAAATGCATCTTACATTGTAATGCGTCAAGAATAATAATCGAATATAAAATATGGTGCAATGAAAGCTCCTCTGGCTGAATAGTGATTACTTCTACTTTTAAATTCAAGTATTTGTTTTACTATCATTACAAACTTTAACTAAAGAATGTGGGACTTTAATTGTAAGAAAGAGTTTTCTAAATTATGATATTAGTAGTCTGTGTTAATTGTCATTAAATACAATGATCAGACACGTTACATTACATTTCCTTTAGCTGACGCTTTTTATCCAAAGCGACTTACAATTACCAATTAAAGAGACATTCCCCCTGGAGTAACTCAGGGCTAAGTGCCCTACTCAAGGGCACACCAGTGGTGGTGTTCCTGGCGGGATTTGAACTCACAACCTTCCGATCTTCAGCCCACCTCACTATCCATTAGACCACCACTAGACAAAAGGGTGTGTCTTTCCCCCCCCCCACACCTTTATTCAAGAAAAAAATATATGTACATCAACCATAAATATGTGATTCATTGACATCAGGGTACAGTTAAAAAATAAAAATAAAATCAATATTAAGAAAAAAGTGATAAAAACAAAAGGTAACATCTCAAGTTAATATGAATAAAATACACATTTGGTTTTGA